CCCCTACTGGGGATCCATCCCAGAACCGGGCATGTGCCCTTGACCGGAATCGAACCCGGGACCCTTCAGTCAGCAGGCCGGTGCTCTATCCACTGAGCCAAATGGGCTAGGGCCGAAGCTGTCCTTTGGATGACCAAGAGCAGTGTGCTAGGTGACAGCTATTACCTGCCTTTGTGCCCTTTCATCATGAATATGGTTTCCGGGGGGCAGTCAGCTTCCACCTGCCTCCCCCAAAGGTAAGAGACCACAGATTCTCAGAATGGCTGACAGGGCCGTGGAGAGAGAAGTAAGTTGTTTTTGTCCAGGACTTTGAACTCTGTCTCTAGTCCCATGATGACTGAGTCAGTAGATGTAAGATTAACAGCAATTAGACCTACCTAGCCAAAAAAAAAAAAAAAAAAACTAGCCACAAAAATACTTTGCTAAAATCTGGGCTAACCAATAACATTATGATTCACGAGTCAAATTTTGTATTTTCACTCCGACGGAATGGAATGTCCAAACCTAAACAACCTGAACGCTCGTTTTCAGAATGCACCATAACAAACATTGGCAAAAATATGTTCTACCTTAAAAAACAAACACACAGAAATAAAGAGAGATCACTCCCGTATCTAGAAGAAACTCGGAAGAAGTCGGCGACTTTACATGGTCACAGATACTCAGGGTCACTGAATCCCAACACATAATGGATTGCAGTCACCCGAACACATTTTCAGAAATATTGAGAGTTTGGGGAACGGTGGCTGTGGGATCTATTTTCCAAAAAACCTCAGCTCATTCTTGGGCATGGCTCATCTGACCCAAATACTTGTTTGCACTGTGACTGATTTTCTTCAGAATTTTATTGCGAAATTGTGGTAGAGAGACAAGACGGGCCAGAGGGTTGGTTTCAGTTCTTGGTCACCCACCAGCAGGGTGACCTTGTGTGCACCCCCCATCCTTCCTGAGCCCCCCTCTAACTCTGTAAAGAGCTTCTAGCTCCCACAGCTCAGCAGTGCCTGAGTTATGGGCTCTGGCTGTAAGACCATTAGCAAATGGAACATCCCCCCATGACATACGGGAAAGGACGCGTGAGTCAGCCTGGGAAAGTTTTAAATTCTAAACAAGTAAATGAGAAAGAGAAAGAGAAAGAGAATGAAAACAAATATTGGAGCCCAAATACTGTCACCCACACGTTTATCATCTTACTCAATTGTTTTTCCTGTTTATGTTTTGAGGTGATTACACGTCTCTTTTAAAGGTTCCTTTTAAAAAAAAATTAAAATATATATATATATTATCAGTTTCCAAGAGGAAGGGAGAGGGAGAGAGAAACATCAATGATGAGAGAGAATCATTGACCGGCTGCCTCCTGCATACCTCCTTCTGGGGACCGAGCCCACAACCCGGGCATGTGCCCTTGCCCGGAATCGAACCCGGGACCTTTCAGTCTGCAGGCCGAAGTTCTAACCACTGACAGTTCCTATGTTGGTTAGTTTTGTCTTGAAGAGGGAACTTCAGCTCCCTCCTACCCTCTTTTGAAACCCTGGACCACTTTTCCCCCACCATGCCCTGGTTCCTGCTGTTCCCTTCCTCTGAGCCCCCTCCCACTCATCTCCATGCCAGCCCCAACATGCGATGGGTGTGGTCCCCAGGGTGCCCGGCCCCGGCCCCTCAGGCTCCAGCACTCCGTGGTCACTGCTTGGGTACAGGTGTCCCAGCCTCCCTTCCTCCCAAGGCCCTGTTTGAGGATTCAAATTATTCATCCTTATAGCCAACTGTCTGACATCTGAGCCCTATCCATTTTGACCTCAAATGAAACCCACCATTTTAAACATTTTATAGTACTTTAAGTTGTCATATTGAGCCCTGGCTGGTTTGGCTCAGTGGATAGAGCATCGGCCTGTGGACTGAAGGGTCCTGGGTTCAATTCTGGTCAAGGGTGCATGCCTGGTTGCAGGCTCGATCCCCAGTAGGGGTTGTGCAGGAGGCGGCTGATCCATGATTCTCTCTCATCATTGATGTTTCTCTCTCTCTCCCTCTCCCTTCCTCTTTGAAATCTATATCTATATCTATCTATATATATGTTAAAGTTGTCATATTCAGTAACCTAGTGGTTACAAATCAGAACTCTAGCCCAGCTCGCAGGAGCACGGGGCCTGCCCTGAGCTTTCCCTTGCTGGCTGCGCAGTGAGTGGGGTGGCTTCCTTGCTCAGGGTCACGGGCACAGCTGGGCACACCGCTCCGTCTCTCACTGTCACTTACCATGGCTCACATCCCCGTGACCTGTTCCTTTCGCCTCCAAGTCACCCTCCTGTGTGTTTAGCTGAATGACCTTACATGGCAAACATTTTGTTCACTTGCCCCAATACCAGTGTATCAAACACATGGAAAATCGGGGACAGATTCAGGGGACAGCAGGCCAAGACAGTGTTCCTGTTTAATAAAAGTGCAAGGTTGAAATGTTAACCGAGCTGTTTAAGGTCTGAGGACTCCAGGGAAAAACTATGCCGTCTCACTGGTGACTTCTGCCTTCTAACTGCTTTCTGTGAACGGACGCGGTCGTCTCAAGTGGCCGGCAAAGCTCAGAGAGAGTGTTCTCTGCGGCCCTTTCTTCGTCGCAGTCACCCCACCCCGGAAGGAATTTCACTGTAAACTTGAACCTGTGAGCGGGGGAAGAAGGGAACGTTTACAAGGTTCTCTGGAGGGTACCCTGACCAGCACTGCCAGCGCGGAGCTGGCCTTGGACGTGAACACAGGTGCTGTCTGCGCGTTCATCCAAGCGCCCGCAGGGCCCGTGGCCTTGCGCGGTCCGTCCACACCTTGCATCTCGGCCTTCCCACAACAGGGCGAAGCCTCGGTGTGAAATCAAATGGAGCTGGCTGACCCCGAGCAGGAGCAAGGGTCATGGCCGTGCGAGGCAAAGCCCCTGTCTGTATCCCATCCTAAACCCCAGGACACCCATTCATCGGCAGACCTGGATTATAATCAATACGGGGTTCTCACTTAATAACCGGTCCTGTTGGCTGTGTAGTATACTCAATATGCATAAGAGTCGAAGTTAATTTTTCACCTCTTTTTCCACCTCTGCCCAAGGAGTACACAGCCTTACTTTTGTGATATACCCAAAATAGATGGATGTATTTTTTGATTAGTGCATTTTCAGTCAAATTTAATATTGGTATCTGATGTTAGCATAATAGTGTACTGATGTTAGTATACCCATGCTAGGATAAGAGTGGGCAGTATCCATACAAATGTTTATGTATATACATATAAGTGTGTGTACACGAGTTTATGTATAAACATGTATGTGTATGCAAATGTTTATGTATATACGTGTAAGTATATGTACACATGTTTATGTGTGTATACACATGTTTATGTATATACACATAAGTGTGTGTACACATTTATGTATAAACATATGTGCATACAAATGTTTATGTACACACACACAAGTGTGTGTACATGTTCACGTGTATACATGTGTGTACAAATGTTTATGTGTATACACATAACTGCGTGTATGTTTATGTATATACATATATGTGTGTATATAAATGTTTATGTACACACACACATGTGTGTACATGTTTATACATATGCATGTATACAAATGCTTATGTATTTTCTCATAAGTG